AGATTACTACATCCAACCTTATGTTACTGTATAACTTGATATACAGATTACTACATCTAACCTTATGTTACTGTATAACTTGATATACAGATTACTACATCTAACCTTATGTTACTGTATAAATTATTTTTACTGTTGACTTTATTTTGTGATGACATTATAATTATAACCTTATGTTGTTATGACAACTGGTGTACATATTTCTACTGTTGACAACTGGTCTACAGATTTCAACTGTTGCCCTTATGTTGTTATGACAACTGGTGTACATATTTCTACTGTTGACAACTGGTCTACAGATTTCTACTGTTGCCCTTATGTTATTATAAGAACATGCTGATTATATTACAAGCTAGCTTAAAGATGTTTTAATGCTGTATACTTATATCACTCAGTTTGAACTAAAACTATCTAATTCTCATGAGTGAAACAGCCAGTGCTTGTTATTAACCAATTACTTCAATAAAATATCTATCATCATTGTATATGTTCTCATAAATTAATTTAAGAAAAATATTCTTAGTTGGGGACACAACCATCTAATTATTGAAGGGGAATTAGGTTCTTGTTTTCAACTCAAGTTTGTACAGTAATCAACAGGGTCATGCTTCAGTTAAATAGAAACAAATGTTTTATATACTTGTATGGGTCTACAACATTAACTTGGTATAATTCAGGTATTCTATCCTCGAACATTTTACTCGTTTTGTAACTTGTGGGTTTCTAGTTGACTTGGGTCATGAGAGGAGAGAATTATCCCATGGGCAGGGTAAACAAAATACATTATAAGGTAGGTGTTCTTGAATCGTTATCATTTGAAATTCATGCAATTTATGACAATAGAAGTTTACTTTCAATAGGTATTTTTGCTTTCATTGTATTTTTTTTTCCAAGACACATCTGACATGTTAAATGATAAAGCTATCGTATGTACAACTTGTTTTTGATGTTATGATGATATTATAATCGTCGTATTAGTTTGAAATTTTGTGAAGTTTCAATAAAAAAAATAATTTTCACTACAGCACATTTATTTTTATATATTATTCTTGTGCTCTTCAGTTTTTCATCATTTTATATTTACAAGAAGGAGTGGGTTATGGATATTTTCATGGGTTCAAAACCTTCCGAGAAAACAGTTTCTGTTAGGAGTAAGTTAATGTTCTAGTTGGTTCTCTTTTCATGGAGATATTCTTTATAAGAAATTCATCAATTTTATATTTTTCTCAAAATCACATTTATTTTCATCTTTGTGAATTTTTATAATTATTTTTAAGAACATTGTTCAATTTAAAATGTTCCCATTTTATTCATTTGAAACAGTTTTTTCTCAAAATTGAGAGAAACAGTTTTTGTGGATACAAAGCCTACGTTAATTGTTTTTGTGGATACAAAGCCTACGTTAATTGTTTTGTGGATACAAAGCCTACGTTAATTGTTTTTGTGGATACAAAGCCTACGTTAATTGTTTTGTGGATACAAAGCCTACGTTAATTGTTTTTGTGGATACAAAGCCTATGTTAATTGTTTTTTTCATACTTTATCGAGGATGTTCCATGTACTCCTTAATTTGTTTCTGCTGTCTATATTAATTCCTCAACAAGTGCCTTATGATTTGTAAGATGGACTATATGTTTAATCAAGATGTGGGATGTTACACAATTCTGAACAACTCATTAATAAACTGTAGAATGGAGAAAATAATGTTTCCTGTACATTTAATACACAAGGATTTCCACATGATTCATAAACTGTTCAGAAGCATTTCTACTGTACTTCTAGCCTAGAAATGATGAAAATGTTACCACTTCTAGCCTAGAAATGATGAAAATGTTACCAATTCTAGCCTAGAAACGATGAAAATGTTACAACTTCTAGCCTAGAAACGATGAAAATGTTACAACTTCTAGCCTAGAAACGATGTAAATGTTACCACTTCTAGCCTAGAAACGATGTAAACGTTACCACTACTATCATAGAAACGATGTAAACGTTACCACTACTATCATAGAAACGATGTAAACGTTACCACTACTATCATAGAAACGATGTAAATGTTACCACTACTAGCCAAGAAACGATGTAAATGTTACCACTACTAGCCAAGAAACGATGTAAATGTTACCACTACTATCATAGAAATTATGTAAATCTTACCACTACTAGCCTAGAAACGATGTAAATGTTACCACTACTAGCCTAGAAATAATGTAAATGTTACCACTACTATCATAGAAACAATGAAAATATTACCACTTCTAGCCTAGAAACGATGTAAATAAAAAAATGTTACCAGTAGTCTTTACTGATATTAAATATTTTGAAGTTGTTTTAGACAAATTAAAAATAATGTCAGTGAAATTTTATCATAGAATTTTTTTTTCCATTTTTAATATGCAATTAATACACATGCTTGGTTTCCCGAAGACTTCTCCTTCATTCGTATCAGAAGCGTGACTTGAAATACCCCTGTAGATTTATTTGAAAGTGAGATCTCTGTTAATCATATCATATCAATCTCTCTGATTGGAGTATGAAATCTAAAGTTCTATTTTCTTTTCATTTTGGAATCTGATTACGTGGTTATCCCTGCTTTTAACGTAACGAACCTCCCCTTATTTTGATCGTTAGAGAACAAGGTTTTTTTTAACCAGTTTGTTTGTTCTAACTTGGATATCTTACTTGGTTTAGGAAGATCCTTTTTTATGATGGAGCAAATTGTCTAATATAGAAATAGTGTAAATTCAAAGATGTTGAGTTACCATCATGTGCGTGAACTACAAGCGAGAACTCTTCTACATCCACCTAAATGATAAGAAATGAGGAAGAATAGTCAATTAATCGAAAGCGCTCGAGTTTTGGGTCTTATTTTAAGTCTGATAAGAAATGTAGTAACCCAATCACAGAAGTCAGCAACACCCTCTACAGGTCATTCATGTAAGAAAGTGATTCATGTTTCAGGCTCCAGATAAGTAGATGGCATACAAGTCGTTATATCACAAATACCAGGGTCAAATCACACAACATAAAACCTCAGTAGTAGTCTTTCTCAGGCAGGGACAAAGTCCCTATATTTGGAGGGATGGGTATGACTGAATTTTGCCCCTAAAATGGGTATTACTGGGGCGTGGACAGTGGTTCAAACACTTTTATTTTTTTCTCTTTATTTACACTTAAATGGTCCGATTACAAATTTAATTACCTTTTGCCAGAAACTTGCCAAATTTTTTATTGTCATTTTCATTGTTTGTCTAAAAAGTTGTTGCAACAAAAAAATATTTTTCACCCGAGATTTACCCAAAGAGATGAATAAAAGTTTGCTGACAGATTTCACTGAAAACTGGATTTGTGCTGACAAAGGGAACATTGGTGGGTGTGGCACCTACCTTCTGCTAAATCTTTATTGGTAGGTGTGGCACCTACCTTCTGCTAAATCTTTATTGGTGGGCGTGGCACCTACCTTCTGCTAAATCTTTATTGGTGGGCGTGGCACCTACCTTCTGCTAAATCTTTATTGGTGGGTGTGGCACCTACCTTCTGCTAAATCTTTATTGGTGGGTGTGGCACCTACCTTCTGCTAAATCTTTATTGGTAGGTGTGGCACCTACCTTCTGCTACATTGGTGGGTGTGGCACCTACCTTCTGCTACATCTTTGAATAAAATAGTCAAACTTTTACCTAAACTATGACCACAGATTATTAACAATCTTTAAAGTTTTTTTGAGTCCATTCAGTCAACTGCAAGTATCTTCAAATACTTGGTAGATGGAATGTTAGGGTCATACCATTGGTTTATCAGTTCTACGTACAGTCCGACTGTTTTTTCTTAAACATCCATCCACCAGTAAAGATCAGTGTAAAATGGTATTGAAAAATAATTAAGATTACTCCTCCTACAAAACTTAATGTTTTATGATTCAAAATTATTGTACCTAAGTTTTAAATCAAAGATGTTTTAAAACCCGTCCTACGTATCAAACACATTCTCATCATTCCTAAACCTAGATAGTTTATCTAATCATCTTAAAAGCATTTTATACTATTTAAAAGGTATTTAGTTGCCATGAAGAAGTCAATTAGGCTGGACCAATAAAAGTCTTACCATATCTATCCAACTAAATGAAATAAGAACATCAGATGTTTACATAAATCACACAGTCCTTGATACAGACCTCAAAAGTGTACATCTACTGAAATATCTGAGGAAGAAGTGCATCAATTTATTCAGAGGTCAAAGGAATTTTAGATCTAAAGTTCTCCCCTCTTCAATGCTACCAAATATATTTTGTGAATGGCATTTTTTAAAATGTCTCTACTAAGCATTTATAACTTATAATTGAAAAAAATAAACAAAACCTTTCACTGATAAAAACCCCTATCTAAGACTAATGGGAAAGTAATGGTAACAGTTTGGTAAGAACCCCATCTAAGACTAACAGGTAAGTAATGGTAACAGTTTGGTAAGAACCCCATCTAAGACTAACAGGTAAGTAATG